CAACTGAGACGTGCACCTCGTCAGCCCCTAGATATACCAGTACTCCTCACCCTTATGAGTCGGTTCTAAACAAAGATGTTTATGCAGGAATTGGACCTAGTGACCCAGGTTATATGCCCCAGGGACAATATCCCTCTCGTCAAATTATGCGTAGGGAAAAGGAGCCAGATAAGTTTAATGGAGATAATGATGATTGGCCAGATTTCTTAATTCAGTTTGAGCAAGTGGCGGAATGGAACGGGTGGTCATCCCTAGAGAAAGCGCAGCAGCTTGTAATATGTCTGCGGGGTAAAGCCCTTAAACTTTTGAGCACTCTTGCACCCTACAAATTAAGGCAATATGATGAGTTAAAGGTTATGCTCACCCGTAGGTTTAGCCCAGCGGAGCGACTTGCTACTCACAGGGTCGAGTATAGGAATAGACGCAGATATAGGGATGAATCAGTTGTAGATTATGGGTATAGTTTAAAAAGTTTGGCTAGGAAAGCTTTTCCCGAGTCTTAAATCTGGAATCTTTGGTGATTGATCAATATATCCATGGGCTGGGTAATCATGATCTTAAGAAACATGTTCAGTTTTGCTACCCCCAGACAATTGAACAGGCCATCGCCGTAGCGGTTGAATATGAGGCGGTGGAGGGGCCTATAGACCAAATACGGAAGCCCAGTTATGAGGAGTTCAGGCCTAGGAATAGTGAGTTCGAGGATTTCAGGGTACAAATCGCCGACATGATTGATAGGAAATTTAAGGAAAATAGGGCTAACACCTTCCGGCCACGTAATGAACACCGGGGGGATAATGAAGGAAGTGATAGGCCTACAACCGAGAATTACATTCCGAGAGATGGGTGGAACCGGGGTAGGAAGTTTCCTTCTCAGGATGTTAGGAATGACATGCAAGTTGATAGACGACCACGTTGCTTTCACTGTCAGGAACCCGGGCATTATAGGCCTGACTGTCCAAAGTTGAAATCTTCACAAACTTCGGGGGAAAGTCCTCCTTTAAACAAGTAAGGACTGATGATATAGCTGCATCATCAGTCCCCAATCTTCCAAAGCAGCCTGAAAGTATATGTGTAAAGGATATTAAACATATTAGTATTGGCGATAATAATAAAGGAAAATGTACTCGAATTGAAAATAGTATTGACAATATTAAAGATAATAGTAGTGAAAATCAGTCTCAAACCATTAGGAAAGGTACTGCATTTTGTGTATTCGTCGCAGTAAGTGTGCCTGGCATACAGTTACAAAACATGTTATTGGACACAGGGTCAGCTTTCTCGTTGATATCAGTTGCAGGGTATGAAAAGATGAGTCCCCACCCACCTTCATTGCAGGATACGAATGTTGTTTTGAATACAGCAGATGGGAATCCCTTGAAGCCAAAAGGGGCTATTTATCTACAGGTGGAGATAAACGGCCAAATGTATACACACCCATTTTTGGTGGTTGACCTGAGCATGGATGGTATTCTGGGTATGGATTTTATCTGGGACTATAAATGTAGTATTGATTTTGAAAAAATGATGCTAACTACTAATAAAGGATTAATTACCCTACATACTAATAAAGTAATTTCAAATTGTGCACGAGTTATGCTTGGGGAAACAGTACGTATTCCTGCAAGGTCAGACAAAACAGTTAGAGAATTTACTCATGACGAAATCCCTAGTAACTGTACATCTAACGAGACATTGTTAGTAGCCAAATCCTTAACAGATAAGAGTAAGCACATATCGGATGAATCACATGGCAATACAGATGCACTTTCTCGAAGCCCTACACGTAAATGCCCCACTGTTAAATGTAGAGACAGCTTTTCGGAGCATAGAAATAAAATTGGTTTCAGTGAGGCAGGGATTGGTAAAGAGAGTTTTGAACAGACGAGTTTCAACTTGTCGCTTGATAAAACTCTGTTACCGTTTTTCAAGAGTAATGGCAGCAACAAAGCTGGTAGTTGGAATGAAGGTGATAGAGAACACGACATCTCCATTCCAAATTGGTTACTCAACTGCGCTGGTAGTGGTGTAGGAGGACCAATTTATCAACGTATCGTAGATCACAATGAGAGACCAGCTCGAGCCCGAATTAAATCTTTCGACAGGAAGTGAGGACTGATGAATAACTAGAATCTATTTTTTTAATTTTCGTTTGTTCGTTGGGGTTTCTGGGGTCTAGTCCTCACGCCTTTCTGTGGGTCAGACGTTCAGTCTTAACGTGGGGGGGGGGGGGGAATGGGGGTTGACCAAACAGATTTCAAGATAGTAAATGGGCTGTTCATTATGCTTTGTTGAAAGATTTACATGGTTGACCTGCTAGCTTCAACAAATTGTATAATCTGAGTACAGAATCTGCTATAGTAATTAAAATCAAACTACTTTGTAGCATGATACCCAACACTCAGGCTGCGTTCAAATAAACTTTGTCTTTATTTCATTGACTTCTTTCAAGAATAATTTATTATTTTTGCTTTAAAGATTTACATTTACTGGCTTTTGGGGGAGGGTGGGGGGAGAGGATTCCATTTATATTATATACAGTACCGGTACATTAAAAAAATATTATTTTAAGACTTTAATATTTATTTGTAATAAAACTAATATAGAACAAGGGAAAATTCTACTGAAAACTAGATGTCATATTCTGAGCCGAAATTTATTGTGTTGATATTTTGAGGCATTTGGCCAGTTGGATGTGGGCCATCTCTGGCCCAGATATGGCAAACTTTTCGCATAATATTATTTTTTCAAATGTTTTGAATATAAAACAAAAAATTTAAAACTGTTAAACAAACTGACAAGATATTCTTAGATACCAGTTACAAAAATAAGTTTAATTCATCAGTAGTGAGCCAATAGTTGCCAAGTGTTAGCCAGATATGGCCAACATCTGGCTGGATATGGGCCACATCCAGCCAGAAGCTGCCAGATGTGGGCCATACTTGGGCCAAAGCTGAGTGGCTGTCTGGGGCGCACTTAACAGCAACTTTTTTTAATTCGAACAATGGCGAACACATGGCAATGTTATTTTAAATACTAATGTGGGGGTTTCGTAGGTGATAAGCGTTGAGATAAACTTTGACTCGCCTTATTCTTGCCCATATATAGAAATGGCTTATATTATCGGCTCTATATTACATTAAACTTGAATTAACGCTCGTACCACGTGAAAATTCTAGAGAAACCCGCCATTTTGTTGAATGGCTGGAGATGGATAGTTCGGAGCTTCTGATTGGATAGCGTGGGTCAAGTCGGCTAATGGGAGAGCGGGTTCTGAATTGTGATTAAAATCCATGTCAAGGTTCATGCACGTGCATTCTACAGTACAGAGCGTATAGATAGGGTATATAAGGCCACTTAAAGTCAGTCTTAGTCGAACGGTCGGGGGGTGCGAACGTCAGCTGAAATATTATTTATTTCGCTCTGTGGTAAGCATCTCAAGGGGAGACTTTGTCTTCGGTGATCGGCAAGTTCCGCAGGAATAACCCATTATTCCGCTCGGGGCAAGTTCGATCTCCGGGGTAGAGTTTTGCCTTTAGTCCTTAAAGGACAATATTGGTGCCAGTCATTATCACATATGTGTTAGAGCTGGTTATACACATTCCAAACTAGCACCAATATTGTCCTGTAAGGCTAAGTCGGGCGTTTCATACTATAGGGAAATATTGGTTTATTAATAGAGTTATGAGTTTAAGTTTCTAGTTATATTAAGGGTTCCGTTTAGGTGACGTAAGATTCGTTGTCTTCTTCTGTGCGAGTGTTGTAATTTCGGGCTGAGGCAGGCATCAAGTTGTGATGTATATATTATGAGTAGAATTTCGAGTTATTAGTTACTTCACGGGTTCCGTTTGGGTGACGTAAGATTCGTTGTCTTCCTCTGTGCGAATGTTGTAATTTCGGGCTGAGGCAGGCATCAAGTTGTGATGTATATATTTATTAGTAGAATTTCAAGTTACTAGTTATTTCACGGGTTCCGTTTGGGTGATGTAAGATATGTTTGCTTTCCTCTGTACGAATGTTGGAAGTTCAGGCTGAGGCCTGTATCAAGCCGTGATTTTTATGTTTATTCGAGGAGCTATTGTTTCTAGTTATTTTGCGGCTTCCGTTTGGGAGATGTAAGATTTGTGGCGTCCCTCTGGATGAATATTATTAGTTCAGACTGAGGCAGACGTCAATCGTTATCTTTCCTAAGTTTGATTCATTTGGCCGTTTTCATTCGGAAGATATAGAACTTTGTGTAGATGGGACGCTTAGTTTCTTGTTTGATAAAGAGACATATAGTTGATGAACTTGGCAGAGTCCTTTCAGCTGGTTCACCATTGGAGGAGAGAAGACCAGCAGTTACGAACGCGCGTTTCGGTCTTTCAATCTTTGTATTTTCCGAAATAAAAACTTTGAAACTTTATAAATGTGTTCTCTTTTCCTTCGGTTCACGCGAGAAACCTGACATCCTGCATACGACCTGGACTTCGGTTTGCATAAGAGTCGGTCACTCCCACCGGTCGAGTGCAAATCGATAACCGTCCTGTTACACTTATATTGTTGTTTATAATAATGTGTATTATCAAATTAACTATAAAATAAATAACTTGTTAATCCTTAACCGTCGTAATTGTTTAATTACTTCCCATACAAATCCTATATAATCAATCTAATCAAACTGATCCAAATAGATTAGATGGTGTCGAAATGACGCGGGTAGCGGGTGTCGAACCAGCTCGGTGTCGAAACAACTAGGATTCTGCGGTTTAACCGGTAATTAATTCCACCTGTTTTGCGGTGTATTCCAGTGACTTTTAGAAATTATCTATGGTGCCACAGAAATGGGGGATAAAGATTGTTTCATTTCATTCCAATTATTGTGTTTCGTCAGTGGTTTAAATAGTTGCGCGGACATTTGTTATTCATTCCGTACGCTCACTTCAACAACGGCTAAACATGTGTTTTGTGCAGCTTTCGACGGTGAGGGTCAAGGTCATAAAACGTCCGCACATCGTAACGTACGCTGACTTCAGCCCAATCGACTGGTTTATTCAACGATTTGGACTTCATTAGGGTTGACTCCCTTGATCTCGGCTGAACATTATAATAATGGCGATTTTGAAATGTCAATCTCGCTCATTTTGTAGCAAAATATTGAAATTGCACATGGCTAGATTTACGTCCTGGGGAGGCAAGGAAAGGGAAGATTTAAAAGAAGAATATTTCAAAAGAAAAACGGAAATAGAGGGTGAGAAGTGGATTATGTTTTGCGTTGATGAATAAACCACGTTTTCACGCAACTGTCATGCTTCTTGATTAACAGTAATAACACAGGAGTAGTGTCAGTAGGCCCAGTTTTATGCAAACTTTTGAGATATTTTATCAAACTTTCTAACGCTGTTATGTTTGATAGGCCTAATACTATACGGCGAAGGTATGCGGTACATTCAACTTACTTAGGCCTATATGCAGGGATAGAACTTTATTACACTTACACACAAGTTTGTTTGATTTCAAATGTACAAGCAAAAGTAGGATTTTGAAGAAATACTTTTATTTTTATTATCTTTGGATTACATGTAAAAGTTACGTTATACATTGGAGTGTAGGCTACACATTATTCCTTACAATTTCATTAAAAAGTTATATAAAACACAACAATGAACACCCAAAGGCAAAACTGCCCTCAACACTAGCCTACTACTAGTGACTGCTGGGCAATATCCTAGACACCAGAACGTAGCTAAATACGTTGAGATATACCCAGGTATCATTTAATCTTGTGTATCTAGCACTAATTTCTTTCACATTCGTTTAATATCAAATCTTTGTTTAAAACTTCGTAAAAATCGTTTAAAATGACCAAAAATCATCTAATTTGTAGGCCTACTTGTAAGTTGTGTCCAGTTTAAAGCCGACTGAATAATTTTGATAATGAGTGTCCAATTTACAAGAAGTATTTAATTTCCTGACCAACTGTTCAAAAATTAATCCTTATACATCATTAATCAATTGGGTTGTTTATTTTTTTTTGAGTGATTATGAGAAATTAAACAGTTTGTAAATTGGACACTCATCATAATCAAAATTGAATGGTCAGCTTTATAAAACTGGACAGAAGTACAAATTAAATGATTTATGGTGATTTTAAACAGTTTTTATAAATTTTTAAACAAAGATTGGATATTAAAGATACATTATGGGAGATTCGATAACGAGTTGGCAGTTCTCATTATAAATAATAGTTAAAAACTAGATAATGTAAATAAACATGCGTAACAAGTTGGAAATACCCCTGGAGTATTCACTTGACACTTTCTAGTCAATATTATTATTATTTCTAGTCAATATTATTATTTCTAGTCAATATTATTTTTAGCACACACTATCGTACCGAATATACAAACAAAATTTAGAAACTTGCAAAAGTTGTTGTTGTATTACAATTTTAATTTTCAAAATATTAATTAAAATATTTTATTTTAATTAAAAATATTTACATGTGTAGTCCAAGAATATTTAATGTTATTGTTTGCAATGAGGTTGCTATTGGTAATGAAGGCAGAACGTAAAAGAACACTTTTAGGAAAACTGACTAATAAAGTAATATACTAGAATTAGTAATAGGAAATCATTCTTTGAAATATGTCACGGTTAGCTGGGAAAATACCCAATTCTGCTAGACAGCCAATGTTGGATGCTTTTGATGGTTGTGCTAGTATTGATTTGCAGATGTTTATTATGATAAATTTGGTCCCATTTACTAATTTCAAAAGTTTTGCTGTGTACCAAACTAGATCCACAGATATCGGATGCATATAGCTATCTGCTTGAAAACTGATTGGTATTATTTGATAAGAACATCGGTCGGAAAAAAATCGGTAGTACCATTTTATTGCACAAACAAAACCATGCACATCTAGCCTTACTATTAAGTTCGGTGATTGCAGAATGACACGTCCGACGCTGAATGATAATTATTAATTAAATCAGTCTACCGGAACTCTCAAAATATATATAGTGTGGCAATGTTGGCATTACCAGTATTTATATTTTTTGCTTTATTAAAGATCATACATTTTGCAAGATTCGATAACGAGTTGGCAGTTCTCACTATAATAGTAATAGTTAAAAACTAGATACAGTAAAATCTGTACGAGCAGCCCCTCCTATTCAGCGACATCTCCTTGTAAGCAGTCACGAGAAATTCCCCCCGAGGAAATTCTATTGTTCCATCTCTTTAATTAATCAACGGTCAGTCCTCTAAAGCGGTCAGCGGTCACTATTTCACTAATAAATTTAGCAAAATAGTGCTTATTCAAGGGCCATTGTTGAATGATACCATTTTGTCGTAATTCATGCACCTCCACTAATCCCATGATTAATAGTTAATTATCTACTCCCCCACCGATCAGGTAAAACGAACTGTGAAAATAACAATAAACTCGGGATTATCTGTTAATTAATCTTCTGTTTTATTAAATGACAAACCCTGATCATTGTTTTCACACATAACGAAACACTATTTGATACTTATTAAATGAACTAAAAGTACCGTCAAAGCCGAGTTTTGTCACGATCATTTAGTATCCATTTTTCATTGCCACTTTGTTGCTAAACAGAAGTTTTAGCGCCTCCTAGTCCTATATTATACAAGAGTTACACCCCCTGAAAATCGGTGACAAATTCAGCAATGGTTTTTTGGACATGTGCGTTTTTGATAAAATAAAATTAATTCATAGATTGTCTTCACAAAATGGATAAATATTATCGAATACATCACAATGGTAAACAGCAGTATCAATGTTCGTACAAAATGACACGTTTACAGAAGATATATCAGAGATTTGAGTCAAAGAATTTCGTTCTAAGCAAGTTTCAGCGACGGCCAAATTTACCGATGCAAGTATTGATGTTTGCTCCCAATAATGCACCCAAGCGTAAAATTTACTTTTAAAATGTCAGCATTAACAAACACTGAGATTTTTATTAAGAGGTCATTCCTGTAAAGTAGCTAAGTCTATAACTCAATATCATCCGAAATCTTCGACATTGAAAACACGAATTCTTTGTCAATTTAAATTAACATTGATGTTGTGATCTTACGGGTAAAAGATGGGCTTCTGATATGCATTAAGACAAAATAAACATTTTAGCGTTGGTACACGAATCGTGTACCATGGTGCATTTCAGCGCCATTTTTAACAAGGGGCGCGTAGAAAGAGACTAGATATATTCCACAAGTCATGTCAAACGGTGACGTGATATTCTTATCTGGAGAGCATGCGCAATAAATACTATCGGTGTAGAGTGGAATAACCAGACGCTAGAGATTGCCTTTCGATTGAGACTTCTGACGTATTTAGCTGAACATAACTGATTAGAAATTGCAGTAAAAACAGAAACGATTGAATGTAAATCAGTTTATATACATTCACATTACATTATTATATGCGTTGTGACCCATTTGTGTCAATTTCTAGATCCAAAATATTAGCGATTTAGCTCCTTTAAGCGGCCAGTCATGAAAATTCCCTTGAGTGGCTGCTTAATACAGATTCTACTGTAATGTAAAGGCAATTTGCTTAAAATTTAATTCAAATTGATCCACTATGATTGAACCGAGAACAAAGCGATTGAATTTCCGCCTAGCCTTGATCATGATTACTAAAGTCAGTACGATAAACAGCATAGTCTCGATTATCCATTTAATCGTTAAATCGTGAAGGAAAGTTATGCAGTAAATCGGCTCACAATCCACAAAAGATTACAGGCTAACGATGCCATCTAGAGTTGATTATGGTCTGGATAGGGTAATTAACGTCTAATTAATAATTTAGATAACATTTCAGGCCTAAAGAAAGACTTGCAATAGACAGATTTAGCTCTTGCATGATGTACTTACTATAAAAATAAACTGTTTGTGTCGCGCGAAAGCCATTCGCCAATAACGTTTATTTTTGACCCATCTCGGAGTTTGTTTGATGGAATATAACGACAATAATGAAAGGACAGATAGTCGAACACCAAAAGAGATCAATTATGATATGTGTATTGTTTTTATACGCCCACATTGAAACAGGGTCGTATATTGGCGTCGGCCCGGCGTCCACAAGCAATTGTGGACGCTCTAGAGGCTAAAGTTAATATCCGATTGACTTTTTAAAAATTTATAAACAGTGTTTAAGGTCAAGAGACGAAGAAGCTTATTGATTTAAAGTGATTTCCGATAATTACTGCCAGAGTTACGGCCCTTGATCACTTTGAAAAATCTTGTGGACGCTCTAGAGGCCAAAATTAATATCCGATTGACTTTAAATTTGTACACAGTGTTTTAAGGTCATGAGATCAAGAAGTCTATTCATTTTCAGTGATTTTCGATAAATACTGCCAGAGTTATGGCCCTTGATCACTTCAAAAAATCTTGTGGACACTCTAGAGGTCAAAGTTAATATCCCATTGACTTTAAATTGATACGCAGTGTTTAAGGTCATGAGACGAACAGGCCCATTGATTTACAGCGATTTCCGATAATTACTGGCAGACTTATGGCCCTTGATTACTTTGAAAAATCTTGTGGTCGCTCTAGAGGCCAAAGTTAATATCCGATTGACTTTTAATTTGTACACAGTGTTTAACGTCATGAGACGAAAAAGTCTATTCATTTTCAGCGATTTTAGATAAATACTGCCAGAGTTATGGCCCTTGATCACTTTGGAAAATATTGTGAACGCTCTAGAGGCCAAAATTAATATCCGATTGACTTTAAATTTATATACACAGTGTTTAAGGTCATGAGACGAAGAAGCCTATTGATTTTCAGCTATTTACGATAATTACTGCCAGAGTTATGGCCCTTGATCACTTTGAAAAATCTTGTGGACGCTTTAAAGGCTAAAGTTAATATCCGATTGACTTTAAATTTATGCACAGTGTTTAAGGTCATGAGACGAAGAAGTCTATTCATTTTTAAGCGATTTTTGATAATCACTGCCAGAGTTATGGCAACCTATCTTTATTTAGTAGGGTAAACTCCTAGCTGATAAAATATAAGATTTTTACCACAATAAAAACGATCAGTTCCAGAAAAAACTGAAGAATTCCGAATGTCTGACGAAGATGTTACAAAACGCCGGTTATAGACAAGGAAGGAAAATAATCAATAGAATTTCCGTTTTTTGTCATAATTATCACAAAATTATGATTTATCGTAAAAGAAGAAATCATGTTATTCAGTAACAATAAGTGAAAAAATGTTACACACATTTTATTTTCGTGTGACATATTTTGTAACACGCAGTCTACAAAATCAACATGCATTTTGCGTGTTTGCGTCCATCAAATTCGATCCCTGCCTATATGTTCATGTTTCGTCATGTTGTATAAAAATGCATGTTCAGCCATTCATTGTAAAAATTTCAAATTCATTAGGCTTAATGTGCAGATTTTTTATGCGCTCCCACATTTTCGTGTGGACACTCTACAAGTCAAAAATTTTATCCGATTTTGAAACTTGAAATATAGTACTACTGCTAATGTTTTTATAATTGTGAAAGCCTAAATGTCTTTTACTGAGTTGGAATAATCGAATCAACACAACTCAGGTTTTTCCTCGTCCACTAAAGAACTGTAAGGTTTCTTTGTGCATACTACAATAACATAGGGATTATCGGTTAATCAGCTTTAATTATCCCACTTTGATTGTTGCCATTTCTAATATTTTCCAAAAAGAGTTTTCTTTGTACGCACTAATTTATCGATTGGTACTGTTATCTATGGCAAGCTTGTCGAGGAATGCATGTCAACGTGTAGCTTACGGATTATCATTTAAAACATTTAGTGGCTTGTAAAAACAGTGCATGTCGAGTAAATGTTTACTTTTGTTTTTTGTGGAGGTCTGTAGTCGTGCCACATGAAATGTGTGGTAACCTGATATCTCGGAAAAAGCTAACCGGAAGTGGTCGAAATTTTGGCTACTTTTATAAGATATTATTAATGTTATATTCTCTATGTTTCGTGGATATCGGTTGATAATTGCGGCCTGCATTTGTGCCACATGAAATGTGTGGTAACCTGATATCTCAGAAACCGCTAACCAGAAGTCGGCTAAATTTTAGCTACTCTGAGATATTATTAATGTTATCATATTCTGTAAGTTTCATGGATATCGGTTGATAATTGTTGTTTGCAGTCATTCCACATGAAATGTGTGGTAACCTGATATCTCGGAAACCGCTAACCGGAAGTGGCTAAAACTTTGCCTACTCTGAGATATTATTAATGTAATTACAATCTACAAGTTTCATTGAAATCGGCTAGTAATTTGCCGTCTGTAGCCATGCCACATGAAATGTGTGGTAACCTGATATCCCGGAAACTACTAACCGGAAGTGGTCGAAATTTTGGCTACTCTGAGATATTATTATTAATGTTATTATATTCAGTAAGTTTCATGGTTATCTGTTGATAATTGTGGTCTGCAGTTGTGCCATATGAAATGTGTGGTAACCTGATATCTCGGAATCAGCTAACCGGAAGTGGTCGAAATTTTGGCTACTCGAATATATGTTATCATATTCTGTAAGTTTCATGGATATTGGTTGATAATTGTCATCTGCAGTCGTGCCACATGAAATGTGTGGTAAACTGATATCTCGGAAACCGCTAACCGGAAGTGGTCGAAATTTTGGCTCATTGACATCAGTCGTATCAATCGTGTTGATTCTATCGGAACGTATAGATCTGCCCTTACCAGATCGTGGACTCGATGGGGACAATCCCATCGTAAAGTATCGCACGACAATGGGAACCTAGCATAACAAGTATACCAGTACCTTATTAAGTACGGTACTGGTACCCCTCATTAATACCCAGATCTTCATTAGCTCATCAGATGCCAGATAGCATGCAGGAAAGTAGGACGGTCATTAAAAGCCATTTAATTTCCTTCATTTTTATACGCCCACATGGAAATGTGGACGTATATTGCCGTGGCCCCCGTCCGTCTGTCATCCACAATTTCTTGTGAATGCTCTAATTCCAAAAGTTATTATCCGATTGTTTTAAAATTGATATATGTGATTTACGTTAGTGAGACAAAGAAGCCTTTTTAATTTCTGTTCATTACGTCTAGTGTTATGGCCCTTGTTTCACTTTGTTGAACCTTGTGAACGCTATTACGCCAAAAGTTATCAGCCGATCTTTGTGAAATTTATATGCATTATTTAAATTAGTGAAATGAAGAATCCTATTGAATTTCAGCATTTTCTGTTCATTACATCTAGTATGGCCTTTGTTTCGCTTTATTGCACCTTGTGAACGCTCTAACCTCAAAAGTTATCTGCCGATCTGTATGAAATTTACATGCGTCATTTAAATTAGTAAAGGGAAGAATCCTATTGAATTTCAGCAATTTCCGTTTATTACTTCTAGAGTTATGGCCCTTGTACGCTCTAGCCTCTAAAGTTATCTGCCGATCTGTATGAAATTTATATGTGCCATTTAAGTTAGTAAAAAGAAGAATCCTATTAAATTTCAGCAATTTCCGTTTGTTACGTCTAGAATTATGGCTCGTTTCACTTTATTGAACCTTGTGAACTCTCTAACGCCGAAAATTATCATCCGATGTATGTGTAATTTATATGCATTATTTAAATTTGTGAAACAGGTCTATTGAATTTCAGCAATTTCTGTCAATAATTTCTAGAGTTTTGGCGATTGTGAACCTTGTGAACGTTTGAAGGACAAAAGTGATCATCTGATCTGTATGAAATTTATATGCATTATTTGAATTAGTAAAACGAAAAAGCCTGTTAAATTTCAACAATTTCTGTAGATTACTTCCAGAGTTGAGACCCTTGTTTCAGTTTGTAGAACCTTGTGAACCCTAAAAGTAAAACGACAAAAATTATAATCTCATCTGTATGAAACTGTCAAAACTGTCGACTGCCTGGATGATTTGGCTGCTGTGGGCGTATGTTTCGTTGCCTGGAAACATATCTTTAGGTTAGTTGTACTGTATTACTTCCTCTGTCTTGAAAAAGTAAATCTGTTTTTGTAATTAATTACATTACAGATAAATCCACGAAAGCAACAGAGATACAACCGGAAGCAATTTTTTCAAATAATGAACTGAATCTTGGTGATATTGATGTCTATGGTTTTGATTATGATTATACTCTTGCCGCATACAACACAGAACTTCATGATGCTATTTATAGACTTGGACAACAAACATTGATGGATAAGTACAAGGTAAGAAAAATATGGATGTCAATGCTTGTGTAAGTCACGTAGGTTTATGTTTCACACAGGCTACCATATAGCATTAACTTACTTATTAACTGTCCAAGATGCTTATAAAATTGTCCACAGGGGTTGCTTATTTACTCAAGACAGAGTTAACTGAAATGATGAATTCACTAGTATATTAATTTAAAGGAGTTAAATTGCTAATATTTTGGACCTAGAAATTGGCACAAATGGGTCGCAACACATATAATAATGTAATATGAATTTATATGAACTGTTTTACATTCAATCGTGTCCGTTTTACTGTGAATTGTCATCAGTTATGTTCGGCGAAATACGCCAAAAGTCTCAAGCGCAAGTCAGTTTCTAGTGTCTGGTTATTCCAGTCAACACCGATATTATTTATTGCGCATGCTCTCCAAATAAGAATATGATATCACCGTTTGACATGACTTGTGGAATATGTCTAGCCTAATTCTTTGCGCACCTTGTTACAAATGGCGCTGAAACGCATTATGGTACACGATTCGTGTACCAATGGTAAAATGTTTATTTTGTCTTAAATATTGGATATCAGAAGCCCATCTTTTCCAGGTAAGATCACAACACCAATGCTGATTTAAATTGCAAAAAAATTCGTGTTTTCAATGTCGAAGATTTTGGATGATATTGAGTTACGGACTTAGCTACTTTAAGTGGTATCAAGTGTTCTAGAAAATGATTTTAATAATAATACCAACTTTACCATTCTGTATTTCAGTATCCAGAAGATATTTTGAAATTAAAGTACAATCCTGATTGGGCCATTAGAGGTTTACATTATGATGTCAGAAAGGTAAATCTAATGGGTGCATTCAAGGCTAGCACTGCGATATTAGAAAAGTAAATCTGATTGGTTCATTAGAGAATGGATGAATGGAATGGGGTTTAACTTCCTATTTTTCAGCTCCAACCTGGCTAATGAAAACGGGCATACGCCATACGGAATGCTATGAGGTAAATTTAAAAAACAGAAATTATATTCAAAGTGTCAAGGGTTCTTTCACATCCATCCCAACGACAAGACACCATTCCTTGCCATGCCCTCGGTCCTGCACCACCGACATGGGGAAACCACACTGGAAAATCATGGGCAACTTCCTCGTCCGACAATAGGATCAAACCCCTGACCTCTGGTAGGTCTTCATAGTATGGGAGGCCATTATTTGAGGGTAGACATTTTGCGATAATATTCCAACTTATTTTTTTTATTTTCACCTTATTTATAATGTTATCGACATATCAACTATGATTTGGCAATATATTAATATTGGCAGGGTTCATGACTATACTTCAGATTGTTTTCCATCATTTCATGATGATATTTCCAAGATGGCGTCCACTTTTGGCGGGAAAATTGGACGATGTGCTGATTTCGATTAAGTAGTAGTGTTTGGTGTCAATATACAATGTATGGGTCATTCCACAAATGAGGGGTCCGATTGAAAATTCATACATATCATTGCTCAAAGCAGCAGAAACACCTATTTACTGATCACCAATTGTTTAAAAAAGTAATTGATCATGTAATATGTTTATTATTTTATACGTATGTTCTATTAAAACATAGAAAATTGGTTTGAGGTTAAATTTTTCTATGTTGCAATTTGTGGTGTCCCTGAATTTTTGTGTTACGTTTTGGGGACATTTTGTACTCAACATTTTAACAACTGAACCATGTTGAGCACAGGACTAATATTTCCAAATATTTTTGCGAAACATGCAGCAGAGAATCTAAGATTCTGTTTGCTAATTTTTCATTTCTTAACGAATGTGACCGGCCGCATCTAAATGAGTCGAAATGCGGGAGAATCAATAATGAGATAAAGACAAAATAAGCGAAAATATTGATTTTGAACGAAATTGAGATTTTCACAAAAATGAGTCTATAAATATACTATCTATCGACACAGAAGATCAAAATAGCAATAAAACATTTTAAAACACCTGTATTTGAACGTTTTGTAAGAGTACCATATTCTTAAATCTGTCCTATTTCTCAAAATTCTCGGCGAAATTAGTTATTTTTCTTCGCTCACAGTGGGACGACCGGTCATTCCTCTTGCATAACAATTGGCATCGTTGTAAAGCGGAGCATCTCTAGTTTATAAATATGATCAAAATATTGTCGATGAATTGATTTTGAACTGATACAATCGAGTTTTTCCCCCCCCCCCCAAAAAAAAATATAAATAAACTCCGCCTGTAGCCATGCTGTCCACACAACTACTTTGCTGATTGGCCCGGACACCGCGTGCAAGACATTATCGATTAATTATTGGTTTTGGCAATGTTTTTGGGTACCTACATGCGATTCACTCTGATAAGTGGCAGAAAAAAAAATTAATTCTGATCGTATAGATTGCCGTTGAGTGTTAATCGAAACCACGTGGCTGATGATGTAAATTAATCGACAAGCGGGTGTGTGTCATTGAGTAATACTATTACTAATCAACTGTCACGGGTCAATGATAAAGCCGTCAACAACTCATTATTTACTCCGAATAATTAATCCAAGTGGTGATTGTTTGATATTTCATATCATCTTTAAAAAAATAATCTATAGGCCTTAAATGGAAATAAACAAAATGGCCAATAATGTTATTTTCGGAGAGAATTTTATTGATAGCTGAATTCCGTTTAACGTTGCTTCTTCATACGGCATGCAAAGTAAGGAATGCATCTGGGATATTATTGTTTAAAATTCTCTTATCACGATGGGTCGAAAAAATGAGAACGACCAACGAGCCGAAATGCGACAATTCCCGAGTCTGCCATTGAGTATCCTCTGAATAATGTTGATATTTACATCAAAGCCAAAATGCACGAAAGTTAACGTAAGCATTGACTATGAAATTGACATTTTTATAGGGACTCATATTTTGATAAAGTCACGGTACCTGAAAATAATAATAGACCCATCGTACACACAAAATCTAATTTTAATTCACGTGTTAAATGAACACGCGTACAGCTGTTTCGGCTTCTTTGATGATTATCCAATCAACAATCTTAATCTCCTGACCACTAGCTGGCACTGAGGTGCTAATTAATTGATGAGATTAACTGAGTTAATCTCACCAAAGTTATATTATACACAACAGACTACTAATGTATAGATTGTTCTTCAGTATAACACTATCATGTGAATATTATGACGTATGTGTTGCAGATGTTTCATTACGAAAGGAGTGCATTTATTATGATTTTCGTCGTCAGCACCCTTGAAATCCTAAATAAAAAACATATTAAACAACAAAATATAGCAAATAAATTGCGGAAATAGTCGGATCAAATTTTTACTACGATTTTCGTCTTCAGCACCCCTGAAAACCCATGGAAAGATATATTCAACGACAAAACAGCAGATAAATGGCCTTGTTGATATGGGATTTTGTTTTGGAACATACCAAATCTTTGACTTGCTTTTTCTCAAAACTTACTTTTGTGGGTTGGGTAGCTTCTAATGGACACAGCTCAGTCAATTTTTGCCCAATTCAAACAAACTATACATCAAATTGAAGGTAATGAGTTGTTGGAGAATGTGAAAATAACAATAACTCAATTTTCAAAATTTCCTCATTGTGACTCAGTATGTTGTGGGGGGTCACAAATGGTAAGTAATCTCAGTGGGAAGATTTTTATTCACGTCTCACATTGTAAATTTTTGTGTCCCCAATATTTACGTTGTATTATTGTTAAGTTAGCCACGATCTTAACTTGAAAAATCAAACCAAAATGTTTCATCTTAATTCCATTTGGACGACGTTGTAATAAATAACAAATTCCGAAAACATAAGCAGTTGTATTGTGTAAAATTGTCTGAGAAAATTTTATTAGCTTTGTCGATATTGAAAATCGAGTCCCTCGTTCAATTTACGAAGTGCTTGTTTATGCCGCTGGTAACGCCCTCTATTAGCTGCGAATTACGTTTAGTTTATGGTCACATGATGGGCATACCCAAAGATTCCGATGGCCCGGCGAATGGATATTTTCTGAATGAGTTCGAATCAAAGTTTAGTGTCCCTGTATTTACGTTGTTATCGAAATTACGCTGTGATGTGAATTTACCCCCTGCATATGAATCATAGAAGCCGAATGTTATAATTGCCGAGTCCAAAATAACAGTATTCTTCCATAGATGAAAATTATTGCTTCCTTGATATTCAGGGATAACGTGACAGAATGGTCGCGGTGTCAGAATATTATTATGAAAATAGGAAACCAAAACTTTCGTGTCCCTATTATTAACTAGATATTGTATTAGTATACGCGTATGTAACCAATGCTACATTATTAATTTTGCTTTCCAGTAAACAAGCTAATAATCTTGAAATGTTACCTTGCTCTTTTCAAGTCTTTTGTTTCATTGTTTTGGCTAAAAGGATTCACAACGTAAGCTATTTAAACTGACACAACCAATTCTCAAAGACTGCTACTTAGTTTGATTGTTGAAAGTTTAATATTTTTTTTATATTTGAAAGTAAATTTATTTTTCAAGTTTTAAAGGAGAAATACTACATAATATGGTTTGATTTAATTATTTGGTGTCCCTTTACACATGAAACTGCAGTACTCCGAATCACAGTAAACCTTTCCATGTTGATTTTTCATGATGACTGATTTACAAGTAGTTCATATCGATTGTTAACGTCATACAAACTTCATCAATTTTGCAAAATCTTTATTTTATTAAAAATCTACAGAAACTGTTCAGTTTGTATCGGGAATTTGGGAATATCCATGTAATCGACATTGACTAGCAAGAGGTGTTGGCACAAATATACACTATTTCTGCTTAGACTTCTAATAAAGGTGCCTCGTTTCAATAAAAATAATACATCATAAACACATTAGTATATCTTATATATGCACAAAAATTTAGCATTAACAGTGTAATTTGGTGTCCCTTTACACGAGAAATCTGTACGTAACCTGTCATGTAAAATCGTTCATTTCTTTTCTTTGGAACTTGACAATGAGAAATCACCAACTGTCCCTCAAATGGCACACATTACTCATATTATTTGTATAATTTTATAAGTGATTGAGATAACTTAAAATTTTAGTACCTATATCACACTTTGGACCCCTCATTTGTGGAATGACCCAAATATGTTTTTGGGGTCACAGATTCCATTCCTGACATTTACAACATTGTAAAATGATCACATGTTCATATACTTAGCATATTTCCAAGATGGCGGTCATTTTTGGTGGGACAATAGGACGATGTGCTGATATTGGTTAAGTAGTCGTCGTCGGTGTCAATATATATGTTTTCAAGGGAACAGAATCCATTTCGGCCAGTAACAACTGTGTAAAATGATTATTTTGCACATTTACAATATGACGGCCATTTTTGGCGGGAAAATGGAACGATGTGCGGATATTGATTAAGTAGTCGTCTATGGTACCAGGATATATTTTTTGGGGAGCAGATTCCATTTTTGCCGTTTACAACTGTGTAAAATTATCACATGTTCAAATATTTAGCATATTTCCAATATGGCTTTCATGTCGGGCGGGAAAATGGGACGGTGTGCTGATTTTGATTACGTAGTCGCGTTTTTGTGTCAATATTTGTTTTTCGGGGGTGCAGATTCGATTTCTGCCATTTAAAACTGCGTGAAATGGTGGTATGTTCACACATTCAGCATATTTTTGTTTGTGGCAGGACGTTTTCTAAACACATTACTGAAAAAGTTTCTGAATCCAATTCTGCTATGTATAAGCTTGTAGCATGTTCCTGGAAGCCCGTGCCGAGTTTACCCATTAGGTATATTATCCAAAAAT